CATCAATAGGTTTGTTTTGGAGATCTCCAAAGTGCGATGCAACCAAACCATACAAGGTCCACGAAACAGGACAACACCAATAGTACCATCTCCTCTATATGGTATAATGTTGTTTTTTTTAATGAAAATAAAAAAAATACAGAGTATGTGTTATTTTCGAGCCCTAAATCAGTTTTGATGTAACAAAAAATGGAGTGTTTCAAGAAATTATAGGTCGTGGAACGAAGAATCCTGAGAAAAGATTCCATATGCCATAGAAGAAGAAACCGACAATTTGAGGAACACTTACATTTGGGGTAACAGCAACGGTCATCATACCGTAGAAACTGAAGTACAAGAGGGTGAAAAACAGGACGAACAAGTACCAAAAGAACGTTGTGACTCTCTATTCAAATCTAATAATAGCATACATAATGGCACCACAGAAAACAACTTACATAAAGACATAAGTGATTTCAATGAAACTCTGCAAGACAAAAAAATTTAACTAATTTAGACGTTTCACCTAATTGTTGAGGTATTAACTTTTCCTACTATTATATATTGATAAAATCTATCCATCAAGGTGACTTTACTATAGAAGGGCAAAACTCTGTTACTTTAATATGACATAAAATAGTTTTATGTCTTCTACTGTTAGAGTGAATTACATTTAGTTACTTTAATGTGACAATTTATAATGGGAAATCTCAGTGATAAAATGTGAAATTAACTCGAGATTGGCTTATAAGAAATTGAACTCTATGCTCACATGTCCAAAGGCATAGGGTATGGCAGAATGCATTCCAAGTTGCTGGATTGTATCCAAGTAGCCATTGTTTATTTTACGTACTCTAGGCATAACTGTGCACAAGAGAACTCAACTTAGTATTTGGTCGTATGAATTCAAAAAAGGAAAGCTCTCCTTCACTTAACAACTTACCTCAAAGTATTTGATCAAATGGCAAGAATGGTGGCCCAATGGACCAATATATATCTCTTGTCCTCCTCGTTTCATTAGAAAGGGCTGCAAAGTAGTGTTTATATTAGTATTTGATGACAAAAGTCTAGGAAAATCAATGAACAATTTAATTGAGTTAAAAAATAACAAATTCACCTCATCAAAGGCTTCAAAAATTGTTGAAAAGTGATTCAAAAGAAACTTGATCAAGTCTTCATGAGTTTGTTAGTTAGTTTCCTTTATGTTAAAAGTTTAAACATTGTGGCAGATTAGTAGCTAAATAGTAATTAGTGGGTTAGTGGACCTAGATTTTAGTATTTTCAGTTTTTTGGTAAGCCTATTTATAGGCAAGTCTTTTTGCTTTTATTAATTAATCAAATTCAAAGAAGTTTGCAGTAACTTTTTATCTCTTTTGCTCTCTTTCTATTCAGTTTTCCTTTTGATTATCTTTCTTTTTTCCAACAAAAATCTCGATACTAGGCAGACGGACGGTACAAACAGTGGTTCTTGCATCTAGCCCTGAGCTTTGTTCATTCATGAAATTGATAGAGGGGTTAGGCACTAGCTCCACTGCAATGGTCAACCTTTTGAGTTGTTCAGTTGAGAGGTCGTTGACCCCTGGAAAACTAAGGCTAATCTTAATGGTCCAAGCTCCACAAGATGCATGACTTCCTCAACAAACATCTGTACGAGGATAAATAAATAGGAAATACATGAATTCAACCTTTCCTGTCTTTTTGTCAACATCATGAGCTAAACGCAGCCAGGATGAGTATACTAAGGTGAATGTAAGGTGAATGGATGCCATTCTGCTCACAGTATCCAGATATACGTGCTAAATGTGTCTTGTTTCTTAGGATAGCCCGAAAGCTTGATGTCACCCTCAATATATCCCCCAGTCTTTCTTCCAGCCAATACATACATCAATGCTTTTTCCCAGCACCACTACTTACTCCCAACAAATCTGCCAAAACACCAAGCCTGAAAGCTCCACTTACGCCCTTAAGAAGTACCAATAACTTCAGTAGCACTTTGAGCTTTCATTGCTTGCAAGTATCGTGAAAGTAACATATCTTTTGAAAATGAAGGATTAGCACTGCTAGTTGATCTATATCATTTCCTGTATTTAGTTACCTGAGGTGATGGAATGTGGTTCACTATTGGAGTCTTCTTTCTCAATGCTAGTCGTTTGGATTCAGTGTCTTCTAATATCATAGCTTGCGGCTTACCAAATGTTGTAGATATTCATAATGAACATTTAACATTTTTTTCCCCGCAGGGAAATATAAATGGAGAAATCTGAGAGATACTAACGTTTTAGGTAAGAGACTGCAACATTGTAGCAGACCCCATGCCAAGTGATTCTACCGCAACAAAAACCTCCAAATATGATGTTCCAAAAACATATGCATGTGATTTCACAAATTTGACTAGATATATAAATTTATAGCATTATAATGAACAATTACAATGGCATTAGGAGCTGGCACAAAAATGGTTGATCATCTAACAAATCTTTGGAATATTTGATAATACATTCAATACCTTGTTAAAAAATTGATTCTTGTTTATCAACTACGCATTATCAAACCAAATACAATTCTCTCTCCATACGCTCTTTGGGAAGGACAATATAGATAAGAAGTATTTGAGTCAATCCAAATGTGGCCAAAACAACAGGAAAAGTAAGAGGAGGATCCTTCTCTTCTTTATTCTGGACGAAACTTAAATCCTTGAACAATGAGATCGTGTTTTCAACTGCAATGCCTAATCTCCATCAATCGCGCTTCAACATTTCTGTCTTATTTATTTCATCTATCCATCCCCTTTTTTCAAGGGTAACCTCGCACTAGGTCCTCGTCCTAAAAAATGGACAACTTTAGCTCGTGCCTCTACTTCATGGTCGCTCTCAGAATCAACAAATCTAAAAATTGCCTTAACATTTCTAAGGACATAAAATCCATCTTCTAATTTGAAACCTAGACAAGCAAAATAACTGATTCTTTTCAACAATATTCAAGTTTCAATTTTGCCTAGGATATCAAGCTAACAGAACCAATTAAGTTTAGCCACTTAAGACGATCTACAAAAAATTTACACTTCCTCAGTAGTTATATTTAATAAAGTATTTTCTTTACAATTTAAAGTACATGGAAAGGAACCGCAAAAATCTAAAACATGGAGTCCAGACGAGACAGACATTCTCAATACTCTGGTGTACCACCCCATATAATACTAAGTTCTCATGTTGCGATCATAAAACATTTATTCCCCGTCTTTTTATCCAGTGAAAACTCTATTTGACAGATCAAATCACAAAAACAAAACATTAGGATTTAACAACAAACCAAAAAGGATGAAAAAGGCACTAGACCACTCTTCCTGTATCCGATTGGGATCACAACGGACCAACCGCGCTCACTTGAGAGGACTAGCTACCTGAAAGTCGGCCTAGATCCAGACCACCTAACAACCCTTATGAATGGAACGTGCCGTCCATTGGCCTATTCTTCTCAGGTCGGGTTGGGTCAGTCATGGGCAGACCCTACCCACTAGACACGACTTCCACTATACCACCTTTACCTACTACACAATCATAGAAATAGAACCCTTTTCCATTGCCATTAAGTCGATTATTCTTCTATTCATGAAAATAACACATTCACAACTAAAATAAAAACTTTCGAAAGATCAGACACACATTTGATAACTCAGTCATCACTGAATAAGATTGTGGTCCTTCTGATATCTATTGGATGGAGTTAGAATTTTCACTAAGAGAATTCAAAATATAAAGAAAGTAAACACTCGAAAAAGTCAAGGAAATTCGAAACATAGTATATATATATATATATATATATATACATAATTTCTTTCACTTATCTACACAATGTAATTGTCCAGCAATAAGGTATAAATTGGCACCATTCGGATAAAAGTGGCTTGGTCGGGTGATAGAGTGTTTGAGCTCGTGAAGTTGTGATCTCACGATTAAATCATATTTTATAAAAAAAAAAAAAAAAAAACTTCTCATGAAAAACAAGACAAACACAAAAAGGAGGGGGGAAATGAAGAAATCATACCAATTTTCCTCTATCAAGAAGAATCGGAGAGTTACGGAGGTTGAAGTAAAGTTGTTTCTTGGAAGGAAAAACTATTAGAGAGCCTAATCTAGAAACAATTTGTTGATAATCAGATGTCAAAAATAATGTCTTTGAGACGATGTCGGATTCTGCTGCAGACATGAAAGTTTGTGAGACACTCTTGGAGGTTGCATAATGAAAATTATCTCGTTAACATCACTGAAAGATGTAGCTAGGTCTTCAGCTGTCTCACAAACATTCATGTCTGCAGTAGAATCCGACGTCGTCTGGGAGATATTATTTTTGCCATATGATTATCAACAAATTGTTTTCTAGATCAGGCTCTCTAATGGTTTTTCCTTCCAAGAAACAACTTTACTTCAACCTCCGTAACTCTCCGATTCTTCTTGACAGAGGAAAATTGGTATGGTTTCTTCATTCCCCTCCCCCTCGCCCCCTCCTTTTTGTGTTTGTCTTGTTTTTCATGAGAAGTTTGTTTTTTTATAAAATATGATTTAATGGTGAGATCACAACTTCACGAGCTCAAACACTCTTATCACCCGACCAAGTCACTTTTATCCGAATGGTGTCAATTTATTCCTTATTTCTGGACAATTACATTGTGCAGATAAGTAAAAGAAATTATGTATATGTCTACTATGTTTCGAATTTCCTTGGCTTTTTCGTCTGTTTACTTTCTTTATATTTTGAATTCCCTTAGTGAAAATTCTAACTCCATCCAGTAGATATCAGAAGGACTACAATCTTATCCACTGATGACTGAGTGATCAAATGTTGTTCAGATCTTTCTAAAGTTTTTATTTTAGTTGTGAATGTGTTATTTTCATGAATACAATAATATTCGACTTAATTTCAATGAAAAAGGGTCCTATGTCTATGATTGTGTAGTAGGTAAAGGAGGTACAGTGGAAGTCGTGTCTAGTGGGTAGGTCTGCCCGTGACCGACCTAACCCGACCTGAGAAGAACAGGCCAATGAATGGCATGTTCCATTCATAAGGGTTGTTAGGCAGTTTGGATCCGAGACGACTTTTAGGTAGCTAGTCATGTCAAGTCAGTGCCGTTGTGATCCTAATTAGACACAGTAAGAGTAGTCTAGTGCCTTTTTCAGTCCTTCTAGTTTGTTTTTAAATCATAATGTTTTGTCTTTGTGTTTTTATCTGGATAAGAAGATAGGGAAGAAATGTTTTATGGTTGCAACACGAGAATTTGGTATTATATGGGGTGGTACACTAGAGTATTGGGAATGGTTGTCTCACCCAAACTCCAGGTTTTATATATTTGCAGTTTAATATTGAAGGGAATTACTTTACTAAATATAATTACTGAGTAAGTGCAAATTTTTTATAGATTCTCTGTAGTGGCTAAAATTAATTGGATCAGTTGGCTTGATATCCGAGGAAAAATTAGAACTCAAATGTTGTCGAAAAGAACCGGTTTTATATTTCGCTTATCTAGTGTTCAAATGGGAAGATGGATTTTTTGTCCTTAGAAATGTTAAGGCAGTTATTAGATTTGTGGATTCAGAGAGTGACCATGAAGCAGAGCAACGAGTTAAAGTTGTCCCTTTTTTAGGACTAGGACCTAGAGGGAGGCTACCATTGAAAAGAGGTGACGGATGGATGGAATTAAAAATGGGAAACATTTTCAATGATACAGGAGATGTTGAAGCACGATTGATAGAGTTTAGGCATCTCGGTTGGAAACACGGCTTCATTGTTCAAGGACTTGAGTTTCGTCCAGAATGAAGAAGAAACACTTGAGCAAAATCGGCAAGATAGAACCTAACCTAGAGGTAAGAGTTAACCCAAATCACCAACACCAGAGGTATCTCCACACACAAAAAGAGTGCATGGCAAACTGGTGCCTGTGTCACTCCAGACGTGTCGCAAAAATAAGTCCAGGAAGCACCACAACCATAACTAAGGAGATCTTCACTACTGAAATGCCAAACACCAAATATATAGATGCAACATTTGTAGATGTGGTCCAGATAAAGGTGAATACTACCTTTGAAGAAGATTCAAAGTGTAGCAAGTGGAGAAGTTCAAAGGAGTAAGAGGGTCATAAAGAACCTGGATATCAAGATGATTGCAAAGTCTCGATGATCCCTTAAAATAGGATGCAAAGAATAAATTAAGTTGGTGCTGAGGAGGAGTGTTCAAAAGTCATCACCAACTTAATTAATATCTAAGATATTTCAAAGAAGAATCTGGTATATTAAAGACTTGTAAAGAAATGAACAAAGAACTCTCGAATGAAAGTTCGAGAGTGTAAAGTCTTAAATCATTCAAGAAAGTGCAATTCTATAAATAGGTAAAAGGTGCATTCTATAAATTGAGGTAGGCATTTCAGTGTAAAGAGTTATAAGACCAAAACTAATCTTTACTTAGCAATTATAATATTCAAGTTGTGAGCAGCCAATTGTGCCCAATAATTCTCAACAAACACTTCTTTTGGATATAGGCCACCACTCTTATCGATTGGTCACAACTAGCACCCCTCCTTGGTCTAGGCCACCACTCTTGACACTCTATCAAGCTATTACTTCGAGTTGCACCCTCAAGTGTTAATCAACCCTACTCTAATGCTTATTATAATAGACTGAATAAGATAACCCAACCCTAAAAACTAGTCTATTAGGTGGAAGAGCCCACTCAAGCCTACTAAACCGTTAATAATTTTTTTCTTAATCAATGAAGGTCAATTAGCATACAACAAAGAGAGTAAAGATTCCTTGCAGTTAAGAAAAAGAGGTTCACCTCCTTGAAAGGAGTCACCTTTAATAGGAAGCTTTAAACTCTTCCTACCAATAGTGGTCTTTATACGGTGCATACTCAGATGGTGTGCAGACTGCAGGTTCCGTTAAGGTTTTGATGTAAAAAGAAAAATGTGCTATAGTAAGTTAAATTGCATAAATAGTACTATATATAGCTCAATCTTTTAAAAATTATTATTATTAATTGAATTGGCCAGTACCCAAGGCTCACTATAATTAGTGACTAATGTTTCATTTAATTCAAAATTTAGCATTACATTAACTTGTTTAGTATATGTATTTGTTGGGTTTGTTAGCGTGGTTACAATTCCACATTGGTTGGGGAACAGACCAATAGTTTTGCTTGCATAGACTTGAGCAGTTCTTCCCTCATGTGCTAGTTTTTGAGATGTCAGTTAGACCCAAGTAATTTTATAGGGTTCAACTGACACTCGTAACTCTATTATGGCTTTGCCCCCCTGACAACGTAGTTGAAGTATGTTCAAGTTGTCTCGGACCTTATTATGGTTATTAAGAAAAAAAACTCTAGACTTCAATAGTGTTTATGTTGCTTCTATTTCCAAAGTTAGCACTAATATATTATTAATTTTCATAGTTTATTTTTATCTGTTTGCCGAACTGATAACTCTATTATGGCTCCACCATACCCCTGGAAGTTGCGATAATGTAGTTGAAGTGGGTTCAAATGGTTTCGGACATCAGGAAAAAAAGGCTCTAAGACTTTCTTAGTGATTTTTGTTGATTTTATTTCCGAAGCTTGCATCATATATTAGCTTGTTTAGTTTAGATGTATCTACTTAATGTTGATTCATTGTTTCCCTGAAAAGATGTCTTGATAGATTGAAGTATATTATTAGTTTTATTATTTAGATGTTCTAGTTGGAAGCTTAAAACATTCTGCCACAAAAAATAGCTTAGTTATATATATATATAAACACCGATATTTACATATAAATATTTTTTTTCATAATGAGTTTATCTCGCAAGTATAAGATTTGTGCGCACTAAACATTATAAGTCTATTCAGTTCGTACTTTTTTTAGAACCCCTCTTATCTTGGTTTGCCAGATTCAAGCTCGAATAAAGGAGGGGTCACAGTACGAATCCTCATAATACATATGTTATTGGGACGCGATCACCTCGTAATGCTAACTTTGGAAATAAGAGCAACATAAATAACTAGTAAAGTCAAGATTTTTTCTAATTACCATAATGTCATTACCAACTAAAGCACACTTCAAGCCAAAATAGAGTTTTGGATTTGGCAGAACCCAACAACTTGGCTTAAAATCCACATTTTTAAGAAATTCAGTTAATAGTTATAAATAACGTATCTCAAACCCCATAAAATAGAAAAGAGATATAGTCAGAACCCGTACACCTTAAAATTCCAGATCCGCCTCTGATGACATGCATTTGATTATTTTGGGACGGAGCTCTATTCCTTCAACAATGAGGCCACTTTTGTCACCATGACGTTTCATCTCAAGCAATATTGCTTCGACAAGACCATCACTACCTTCCTTGCTATTGAATATCCCAATTCTACTTCCATCCATCCATCTCCACGCAGTTTTGTTGATGTCACAAGTTTCACAGTGTTGGCTTGTTTTTCAGTCTCAGTATCACTCTCATAATTAACAAACCTAATAATTGAATTAGAATATTCAAGTTCACAGGACTTAATTCCCAATTTGAACACCAAATAATCAACATAATCTGTCTTTGGTGACAACACTGTTGTTCCTTTTTTTCGACGAATATCCAATTGAGGTACAAAGTGAAGATATGCCACTTTTGAGAATTTGCAGAAGTATTGCAAGTAGCATTTGTAAGGATAATTTATCATTGTTTTAATGATATGTAGGGTGTATCTCCTTAGTAGGTCTACCAGATGCGAAGTTGAATTGACGAGATTTGGGTACCAGATGGTTGAACTAAAAAGATTTATTTATTATCTATGCAATTTAACATGTTATAATATATTTTTCTTTTTACGATCAAAATATTTATAGGAACCTCGCACTGTCCGAGATTGCCCCTTATAAAGATGACCTTCCAATACTTTTTCGACTGATCCTTAATTTGCATTAAATAATTTTCAAGGTGTGAGCAACCAATTGTGCTCATAATTAACTTGAAAATTATTAATGCTAATTAAGGACCAGCCGAAGTAGTATTGAAGAGAGGTGATTAGACAAGACATGACTCAACTTCAGATTACTAAAGACATGACCTAAGATAGAAAAGTGTGGAGGATGCGTACTAGGGTAGAAGTTTAGTAGGTAATGAAGTGTTGTCTTGCTTTTCGAGATTTTTGGCTTGTTGGTGATTTGTCGTTGTACTAGTTGCATTATTGTAGTTATTGATTGGGATATCTATCTATTTATGTTGTTTAATGTGTTTTGATTATTGCACTAATTTGTTGTTCTTAGTCCTTTCTTATAAGATCTTGCATCCCCCCCCCCCCCCCCCCGTTGCTATATCTTTTTTCATTGTTTTCTTCTTCCTTGTACTTCAATTTGTTGCACTTGAGTTGAGGGTCTTTCGAAAATAACCTCTCTAACTCCTCAAGGTAGTGGTAAGGACTGCGTACACTCTACTCTCCCCAAACCCCACTTTTGGAATTTCGCCGGGTATGTTATTGTTATTGTTATAAGGGACACCTTCGGTCTTAAAACTCTTTAAACTTATTTTTTTTTTTGCACTCCTGTTTTCTTGAGTACACTTCACTCTCAATTCTTTCTTGAGTACACACTCTTTATTTGAGTACAAATACAACTCAAATGACCACCTTTATTTATCGGCGTTGATGGAAGGATCTAGTGGATGCAATATCCTAGAACTACACCTTCCACTTCTTTCTCGAACTCTTTTAGATTTTGCACTCTAGAACTCTCATTCTAAAGTTCTTCTTTCAATAAAAATCTTAAATATTCTAGATTCTTCTTTGAAATATCTTAGATATTACTAATAAGTTGGTGATGACCTTTTAACCCCCCTCTCAGCACCAACTTAATTTATTCTTTACATCCATTTTGAGTGATCCTCGAGACAATGCAATCATCTAGATGTCCATGCACTTTATGAATCTCTTCCTCCTTTGAACTTCCCCTCTCACTTCTCTTTGAATCTTCTTTGAAGGTAGTAGTCTCCTTGATCTAGACCACTCTGTTAATGTTGCATCATTATA